ATTGTCTATCTGACAAAGGATTCATATCCTGAATATAAAAAGAACTACATACCAAGAAGAAAACAACAAACAACCCAAATAAAACACATAGGCAAAAAACTTTAACAGACACTTTGCAAAAGAAGATACCAAAATAACCAACAAGCATTATACAAGAAAAGATGTTCATCAGGGAAATGATGGTAAAGGAATTAAAAAGGTATGAACATAAACAAGACAAAGAACAAAAGAGACATGAGGGATGACAGATATCTGGTTTATAATAGAAATGTTCTATAACTTGATCTGGGTGGTAGCTATATGGAAATCCATACACATAAAAATCCACCGAGCTGAATATTAAGATGTGTATACTTTAGTCAACAAACATTATACTTTTTCTGATGTTATCAAGTAAGCTTTTTTTAAAATTTTTATTTTATATTGGAGTATTGTTGATTAACAATGCTGTGTTAGTTTCAGGTGTGCAGCAGAGTTATTCCGTTATACATATTCACGTATCTATTCTTTTTCTATACTTTAACTTTTTAAAAATATAATCCTCAGCAATCAACAATTTGTGCTCTATTATTAGGGGATATGGAAGTAGAAGGATGAATGTAAGAGAGCTAAATCTTTACCGGTCTTCACCAAATAAGAAAGGACAGATCCTTTCCTATCTTAAGCTTATTTGTGATTAGTAATAGCTGCCTCTGGGGAAACAAGACTGGCCGTTGAGGAAAGGAGAGACAGGGGACTGCTATTTTTCATAATAAGTCTTTTACTAATATTTGATTTTTTTTAAATTGTGCATATATTAACTTGATGGGAAATTTTTAAGTGAATATTAAGTTATAAGCTATTAGCTATGTGATTATTTACACAACCACGGGGCAGAGAAGGCCTTTGAAGTGCACCTTGGTGGACACCTTTCATTTTGCCAGCGCAGTGCCCATTCCCTTTTCTGTGCTCTGATTCTCCCTCCTCTACCAGCAGTACAGATGGTCTAGGGGAAATTTCTCCACCCCAGCTTCCGTAGTAGCCTGTGACTCAGGCCCAATCCAACCCATGGCCCTGGCCCTTGGCCAGAGATATATTTTCTTTTCCAGGGATAGGCACAAGCCCAAATTTGGGCCGATGAGGGCTATACTGAGGAGTTCTCTGTAAATGTGGCCTAGCCTAGAGGGGCTGGCAGCCGTCTTGCCACCAAAAGAGAAGAAGGTGCCCAAGAATGGGGCTGACAGGATGGACAGCAGAGATGAGAGATGAGGAAAAGACACCTGAGCCCTGATGCCTGTGGTTGAGCCCTGGTTCCATGCAGGTCTGAAGTCTGTCTTCCCCTGCCGTTTTCATAATTATAAGAGGCAGTACCGTGTAAGGAGGAAATATTGGACTGCGTGGCTTCAAACTTCAGCTTTACTGCATACTGTGTGACCTTGGGCCTGTCACTTGACCTCTTCCTAATCTATAAAATAGGAATAGTAATGGTACCAACCTCACAGAATCAAATGAGTTAACATGTAACACACACACATATGCACATACATTTTATATATACATATATTATATGTTCATAGCTTAATACAAACATATATTCATTAAAATCTCATTTAAATTTATGTGTGCAAGAACCATATTTTTACTTTTAATTAAATCCTCTTCTTTCCTTAAGCCAGTTTGAATTGAGTTTTCTGATACTTACAAGTGGCAGGATCCTAATTCAACAGCCCAAAGAGAAACCATGCAAAATCAATCGATAGATTTAAGCAAATATATAAAACGTACACATAATATAAACATAAATGTGCTCTATAACAGAAAAAAAATCCTCAAAAAATTAAAAAGTAAATAGAAAAGGAAGAAATAATGTTTGGATGGATAAAGTTTCTGCCCTTACAAATAACAAGATGGAGATGCTACACAAAATGGGCACAAGTATAAACACACCATTCACAAATGAAACAAAACAAGAACGCAAGAAACTCATGTTCGGGTTTTAAAAATCAAACATGAAATAAACAGGAACTAATTTTTTCCGATGTTAAATCTAAAGAGTGCTTTAAATTTTATTATCTGGTGTTGGCAAACGTCCCATGGACTGCTAGTGAGAATGTAAACTGACACAACCTTTCTGAAAGGCAATCTAGCTATAATAAAAAGAAGCACACCTTTGACACCATAATTCTTCTCCTAGGAATTCATCTAAGGAGATACTTAAGAGTGTGTGGGAACATTTTCCCTATAAGTTTTCTCACTGATTGTATTTATATTCGGAAACACTGGAAACTGAGTGTCCAAAAACAGCGGGTCCATTATAACTGATACATTCCAATACTGTTCAGTCACTTATAATAGTGATGGAAAATATGTACATCTATTGAAGAACGTTCATGATTATTAAATGAAATAAACAAGTTACAAAACCATATAGGATGCGCCTGTTTTAGTTGTATGAATATATACACATACGTAAGGAAACAAATGTACTGGGATACATATCAAATGACTGTGAAATCTCTGGGTGGTAGAATTTATGTGTCCTAATTTGTTGGTGGGGTTTTTTTTCCCCTTATATATGTATTTCATTCTTTCTCCAATGAACCTTTACAGACTTTCAATAAGAAAAAATGTACCTCAAATTCATAGAAAGCCATAAATTACCTCTTAGTGTAGTTTCAGTCATGCATTTGGAGCCAAAATGCATGCAAGCTGTTAGGTGGAGTACAGGTGATAGAAAAGTCGAGGGAGTGGACACTCTTTTGAGAAAATGTGGTGGTAGAAACAAGGAGCAAAGGGTCTCAGAAACATACGTAGCATATCATTGTTGCAATGGAGCATCTGGATAAGAGGAGGAGACCGAAGATGCGAAAAGAAGGAATCACTGGGGGAGATGTCTTATCAAGCCCAAACAGCAACACACTGCTTTCCATTGTCCCGCGGCTTCTGTTTGGGATCGACTGGGCTGCCTTAACTGGATTCCCACATGCCCTTTTCCCATGCGCTGCATGGGCTCAGAACTTACCCAGGGACAGAACTCATACTCTCAGCCTCTTGGTGTCTTAACCCCCTAAACTAAGTACAACAGGCAGTTTTCATCCGAAGCTTTCCCCAGGGAAGAAATAGGACACTTGAAGCCCTGCTCAAGGCTTCCCTAGGCCACCTTGATTAACCACCAACCACAACTGCTATCATAATACACACCATTATGAAAAAGTGAGTTTTCAACAGTTCATAAGGGTTTGAATGCTCACTAAGTCAGATTACATTTTCTTTTCAGTTATTTCTGGCATATTAACAGCTGGTGACCTAGATTAAGAAATAATTTAATATGTCAAAAGGCAGACTGTATCAATAAATTCCCTCACAGATGGGAAGTGGATTCAATGAAAAGCTTCAGACCTAAAATTCAAGTACTTACTTGGAAGGAGAGAGAGGGTGGGGAGGAATACCTACCAGTGGGTAAAAGGAAGTATGGAAAAATGATGACAAAACCTGGCCAGGATCCCAGCAGATCATGGCTACTTTCTGCACAAGTAGCCAGGGACTAGAAGGGGGCAGGAAGCCTTGTTAATTCAGCTGCTAAAGGAGCGACAGGAGGATCACAGTTCGGGATGAGCTTGGGTAGATATTAAAAGAAATACAATCCTCTTACTGCATTGAGAGCATGCATGTGTGAAGGGAGGGACGAGAGGCAGCCACCCAGCCTCTGGGCATGCGGACAGGCAAAGGAATCAGTGCCCCCTTCAGCTGAGTTCATGGGAGTCAATGGGAACTGGGGGGGCGTCCTGAGCCCAAGTCGGAAAAGGGAAATTCACCTTCATAGTGGGCAACGCGGCAAACCTGACTTCCAGTAAAACAGGAAACCACTAAACATCCAGAATCCCAGGGATGGAAAATACTTCCACGTGAAAGAGAACACAGTTCAAGTGACACGGACCACGGGGCTCATTAGCCGGTGTCCATTTTCAAGTACAATGCTTCATCTACAATATGAATGTCCTTTGCCCGGGACACAAATGAAGACCTCAGTGCTGGCAAGGTCTTGACGACAAGCAGTGGGCAGGGAAGCCAGGCAAACCCACTGCCTGCTACTGTACCTCTCCAACTGCTCGGGGCTGGGCTTGATTTGGACATGGCGTTCATTTGTGCCCACCTCTCGGGGAGAAAAATAAATTACTGCGACCAATCTTGTGAAACACCAGGGAACCCAACCCGTGCAGCATGGATTTTTTTTTCATGCAATAAAACGCCCTCCTCTGTGCAAAAAGATGCAGAGAACTGTTAGGTTCAGGTCATATTTATTTTTGACCTTCCAGAGAAGGACGCTGGCGTCAAAAGGGATACACATACAGAGAGACCCCTCAAAAAAAAAAAAAAAAAAAAAAGAAGAAGAAAAATCGAAAGAAAGAAGTGTGCATCTAGATCTCGGTTTTGAACTTCGAGATTCACTGCACAGTACTGTATTAAAGCCCTTGGCTCTTCGCGATCAGCCTTCTTAATCCAAACATATTTCTTCGGAGGTAGCTTCTGTGCTAAATCGCTCGTTCCTGCTGCACCCAAGTAGCCAGGAAATCCCGCCGGAGGAAGGACAGCGCCGCAATCTCCCGCCGGGACCTGCGGGCCGCGTCCCCACCAGCCGCCTGCGGGCGCGCGGCCAGCGGGCGCCGGGAGGAAGATGCGCTCAGCTCCGGGAGCCGCGGGCGACACGCCGCACCTGCCACAGCTCGTGCCGGGCGCCCGCCCAGGAGGGCGGGGAGCGCGGCCAGCCGCGCGGGGGAGCGGCGAGGCAGCCGGGAGACCCGGGCCAACCCCGCGCCTCCCGGGACAGGGGCTGCGCGTCCCCGGCGCTCCCGCCTTCCCGCCGGCTCCCCGCAGCGCCGGGTGCCGCCTTGCTGCAGTGGCTGCGGCGGAGGGCAAGGCGTCCCCGAGACCCCGGCCCGGCCTTCTGCGCTCCCCCACATCCCACCCCCGCCCCGGCCGGCTCGGCCCTGCCCGCCGCGTCCCCGCCACCCGCTTCTGACCTTTTCCTGCGCGCGGTTGAGTCGCTTCTGGACGTTCTTGGCGAAGATGCCCGTCTTGATGTCGGCCATGGCTGCAGGTCCGCGGAGGCTGAGAGGAGCGGAGCGGGCGGCGAGGAGGAGCGGGAAAGGAGGAGCAGGAGAGGCGGCGAGGAGCCGCCGAGCGCCAGGAGGGGTGAGGGAGGGGCGCGGCGGCGGGGACCCACTTAAAGCGACAGAGCGGAGGCGGGACGCGCCGGCCCGGTCGGTGACACGGGTGGCGAGCTAAAGAGAGAGAAGAAGCCAAGAGTCGAAATGCCCAGAGAGCGCCCACAGTGATGGCAGAGGAGGTCTGGTGGAGAAAGGGAAGGGAGCCGAGCAGCAGCCGCAGGGCCCGCAGCAGCTCCGGGGTTCTCTGAAGGCGGAGTTTGTGGTGGGGGAGGGTGAGAGGGGCCCCAATTCTCTCCAGCAAAAAAAAAAAAAAAAAAAAAAAAAAAAAGGCGGGTGTGGGCGGAGGAGTTGGAGAAGAGGGAAGGAGAACACCGGGAAGGTGCAAGTGGAAATGGAGGGGGTTGGGCTGCGCTCCTTGGAGGACCCGCTCGACGACCCCAGGCAGAGAATGCAACCCTCGATTATCTGTGTGTTCAAGAACACACCCTCGGGAGGCTCGCAGCCCAACGAGGGAAGCCGACTGGGAAACCGAGTCAGGGCAGACGTTGGAGCTGCCCCAGAGACACAGGTAGAAAGGAGGGAGGCACCAATGGTGACACTTGTGTAAACTTTCACACAAGACTTGGGGCGAGGGCGGGAGGTTCCTTGCTGAGAAGGGTCCACTCCTTTAAGGCAGATGCTGTGCTTTGGTGATCTCTGTAATCCCTGCCCTGAGCATAGGCACTCACTTTCCAAGAACCATTGCATGGAAGAGGCAGGTCCTTTATTGCCTCACACCAGCAGTGTAAGACCCAGGCCTCCTAACCTGTTGCTTCTTACCCACCTTCTGGTAACCTTAACAGGGATTCACCATCGTCAGTACACTTTGCAGAAGTAAGAATAATAGAGATAAACTTGTCCTATTCCTACCTAGAGCTCTTGAAGCCTCTGACCGAAGGTCAAACTATTCATATTGGGTTCTCTCTGAGAATGTGAGAAGGGTAAGGCAGGTGGCCCAGCAAACAGGTCAGAAGTGAGTCAGGCATCTGGGAATCCTGTGAGTTCCGGAGAGCATCTCACGCCACCTCTGGAGTAGACTGTCACGTGGGCAGCTCCCGTGCTTTGCCGCTTGGTATCCACTCCTAGTATAGTCCCCTCACCTTGATTCTAAAAGGCTTGTGACTGCCTTTTACCAATAAGATATGGCGGAAGTACACTGTGCCAATTCCAGACCAACGCCTTGAGAAGCCAGGCAGGTTTCGCAGTCTGAGGAACGAAACCTGTTCTTCCTGTGCTGCCGTGTAGAGTTTCAGCTACCCTGCTGTAAAAAGCCCCTTGGAGAGGCCACATGGTAAAGGGAGAAGCCCTGAGGTTACTTGGACAGGGAGAGCAAAACCCAGATGTCCCTGCATCCCAGCTGAGACCATCCTCCAGGAAAAACACTGGCCCAATACAGCCGCACAAAAAGTCATCAGCAAGACCAGCGGAAGAACCGCCCAGACAATCCTAGCCAAGAATGTGGAACGGTGAGCAAAAAAAAAAAAAAAAAAAAGATAGGGGTTTTATTATGCGAGGCACACTGAGGCCAAAGAAACTCAAGTGTCAGTTTGGAGCAGAGAAAGGTTTATTGCAGGGCCATGGAAGGAGACAGGTAGCTTATGCCTCCCGAAATCCCAAACTCCTGGGAGGAGTTTCAGCGAAGCATTTTTTTTTTTTTTTTTGACGCTATGGTAAGACTTTATTCAGCTTTGTAAGGACTGCCAAACTGTCTACCGAAGTGGCTGTCCCACTTTGTGTTCCCCCAGCCAATTGGTATACCAACCAATTGGTATTGGTTTTTTGGATTTCAGCCATTCTAAGATGTGTGTAGTCGTATCTCATTGTTTTGATTTACAATTCCTTAATGACAGATGATGTTGGGCCTCTTTTTACATGCTTATTTGCTATTTGTACGTCTTCTTTGGTGAGGTATCTGTTCAGATCTTTTGCACAATTTTACACTGGATTGTTTGTTTTCTCATTGTTGAGTTTTAAGAGTTCTTTGTGTATTTTGCATACAAGTTCTTTTATCAATCCGTGGCTTATCTTTTGATTTTCCTAAGAGTGTCTTTTACAGAGCAAAAGCATTTTAAAGGCAAGGTGAGGGAGGGGCATGGTTGGTTGTTGGAGACCTCTTCGCGTCAGAATCCTTTGTTCTTGCAGCTGTCCACGTAGGTCAGGTCAGGATGATCCTGTAAACCTCCAACAAGATAAATGTTATTCTCTGTTCTGCAACTTTTTTTTTTTTTTTTTTTTTTGCGGTACGCGGGCCTCTCACTGTTGCGGCCTCTCCCGCTGTGGAGCGCTCCGGACGCGCAAGCTCAGCGGCCATGGCTCTCGGGCCCAGCCGCTCCGCGGCATGTGGTATTTTCCTGGACCAGGGCACGAACCCGTGTTCCTTGCATCGGCAGGCGGACTCTCAACCACTGCGCCACCAGGGAAGCCCTGTTCTGCAACTTTTTATCTCTATATGAATGGGAAAGTGTTATACCCTTAAAGGTCAGAGCCTTGAGAATGGTCTATCCTGTACATTTCAGCCTATAGGCAACATTCTTAACCCTAAACAAAAGCTATAGAACACAAAGATTTAAAGAAACAGATCCAATATGGAGTCAGATTTGCTCTACCCTATCACAGCTTTTTAAGCCACTTTTCTGATGGTTTTTTACTGAAATACCCAGTCTATTCACTTGGCTCTTACTTCCTTAGGATGGCTATTCATCCCAATTTGCCTGGGAATGAAGGCGTTTCCAGGACACAGGACTTACAGTGCTAAAACAGGAAAGTCCTGGGGAACCTGCAAGAGTTGGTCACCTTCTTTCCAACATCTCAACTAAACAGGAGTTTACTTCAGATCAAAGTAAGAAAAACTTGTTTCTTCTCTTGGTCAGCTTTCAGTAGAACAGACTACTCAGAAGCCACGAATTTTGAGTCGGGGGCTTCTGAACCTTAGCTCTGCCTTGGGATCTTGGCCATGAGGATACAAGCCTCAGAATGTTGGAATATACCAGAATTTTCTGGAGCATATCAGTCCATGGTTACTCTTATACTCTGAGCCCCAGAGTCCCCTCTGCTCCCTCTGGGCCTGGCTACAGCCCTCATTACAGTCACCACTGCCCTTTCTCTGACAAGCAAGGGACAGGGTCCCAAGCAGTGGGTTTACTTTTTCTCTGCTTACTTAGGGCCCGAGCCATCAGATCCCACTGTCCCAGCCTTTGTCTCTCCTGGCAATTACTCCCCCACCAGTTTTTGGAACACAGTGAATATCTTTTGAAATAAAATTGCAAATGGTTCGCTTTTCTTATCATTCGGATGCCCAAATCTAGATGTGTAGCGTGGGTGGAAAGGGAAGCTTGTCATTTCTTGATAATTCCATTTGGAATACATGCTGAGCATATTAAAAAATTGCGTGCAAACTGTTAACAAATCAACCAGTATTTGGGGGGTTGCCATGTGGCTCATTCTAGCCACTCTGGAATATTGATGAAGCGCTTTAGCTGGTACTTAGTAGGTGCCCTGTAAATATATATATATATATATATATATATTTTTTTTTTTTTTTTTGGCTGCATTGGGTCTTCATTGCTGCACGCGGGATTTCTTCTAGTTGCGGTGACTGGGGGCTACTCTTCGTTGCGGTGCGCGGGCTCCTCATTGCGGTGGCTTCTCTTGTTGTGGAGCACGGGCTCTAGGCGTGCAGGCTTCAGTAGTTGTGGCTTGTGGGCTCAGTAGTTGTGGCTCATGGGCTCCAGAGCACAGCCTCAGTAGTTGTGGGGCATGGGCTTAGTTGCGCCGCGACATGTGGGATCTTCCTGGACCAGGGCTCGAACCCGTGTCCCCTGCTTTGACAGGTGGATTCTTAACAACTGCACCGAATGCAGGAATGCATGAGACTAACTCATGAGGATGCATTCTTAGCTATTTCTTCTCATAATTCTTCAGTAATGCTACTGGAACATGGGTGGGGGGAAGGGGAGCCCAACTACTACAATGATTTTTTTCCTTAGGATAATTTTTTTAAATTGAAGCATAGTTGATTTACAGTGCTGTGTTAGTTTCAGGTGAACAGCAAAGTGATTCAGTTATACATATATATATATATTCTTTTTCAGATTTTTTTCCATTATAGGTTATTGTAAGATATTGAGTATAGTTCCCCATGCTATGCAGTAGGTCCTTGTTGTTTACCTATTTATATGTGGTAGTTTGTATCTGTTAATCCCAAGCTCCTAATTTATCCCTCCCTCCCCATTTGGTAACCATAAGTTTATTTTCTATGTCTCTGAGTCTGTTTCTTTCTTATAAATAAGTTCATTTATATCATTGTTTTAGATTCCACATATAAGTGGCATCACATGATATTTGTCTTTGTCTGACTTACTTCACTTAGTATGATTTTCTTTTGAATTCTTGAATTTTATTTCATTTATTTTTTTATACAGCAGGTTCTTATTAGTCATCAATTTTATACACATCAGTGTGTACATGTCAATCCCAATCGTCCAATTCATCACACCACCATCCCCACCCCCCATGACTTTCCCCCCTTGGTGTCCATACGTTTGTTCTCTACATCTGTGTCTCAATTTCTGCCCTGTAAACTGGTTCATCTGTACCGTTTTTCTAGGTTCCACATACATGCATTAATATACAATATTTGTTTTTCTCTTTCTGACTTACTTCACTCTGTATGACAGTCTCTAGATCCATCCACGTCTCAACAAATGACTCAATTTCGTTCCTTTTCATAGCTGAGTAATATTCAATTGTACGTATGTATCACATCTTTATCCATTCATCTGTCGATGGGCATTTCAGTTGCTTCCATGACCTGGCTATTGTAAATAGTGCTGCAATGAACATTGAGGTGAATGTGTCTTTTTGAAATATGGTTATCTCTGGGTATATCCCAGTAGTGGGATTGCTGGATCATATGATAATTCTATTTTTAGTTTCTTAAGGAACCTCCATACTGTTCTCCATAGTGGCTGTATCAATTTACATTCCCACCAACAGTGCAAGAGGGTTTCCTTTTCTCCACACCCTCTCCAGCATTTGTTTCTAGATTTTTTGGTGGTGGCTATTCTGAAGACTGGTGTGAGGTGATACCTCATTGTAGTTTTGATTTGCATTTCTCTAATGATTAGTGATGTTGAGCAGCTTTTCATGTGCTTCTTGGCCATCTGTATGTCTTCTTTGGAGAAATGTCTATTTAGGTCTGGACATTTTTGGATTAGGTTGTTTATTTCTTTAATATTGAGCTGCATGAGCTGTTTATATATTTTGCATATTAATCCTTTGTCCGTTGATTCGTTTGCAAATATTTTCTCCCATTCTGAGGGTTGTCTTTTCATCTTGTTTATGGTTTCCTTTGCTGTGCAAAAGCTTTTAAGTTTCATTAGGTCCCATTTGTTTATTTTTGTTTTTATTTCCATTACTCTAGGAGGTGGATCGAAAAAGATCTTGCTCTGATTTATGTAAAGAGTGTTCTTCCTATGTTTTCCTCTAAGAGTTTTATAGTGTCTGGTCTTGCATTTAGGTCTCGAATCCATTTTGAGTTTATTTTTGTGTATGGTGTTAGGGAGTGTCCTAATTTCATTCTTTTACATGTAGCTGTCCGGTTTTCCCAGCACCACTTATTGAAGAGACTGTCTTTTCTCCATTTTATATCCTTGCCTCCTTTGTCATAGATTAGTTGACCACTGGTGCATGGGTTTATCTCTGGGCTTTCTATCCTGTTCCATTGATCTATATTTCTGTTTTTGTGCAAGTACCATATTATCTTGATTACTGTAGCTTTGTAGTATAGTCTGAAGTCAGGGACTCTGATTCCTCCAGCTTCGCTTTTTCCCCTCAAGACTGCTTTGGCTATTCGGGGTCTTTTGTGTCTCCATACAAATTTTATTTTGTTGTTGTTGTTGTTTTTGTTTTTTTGCTGTACACGGGCCTCTCACTGCTGTGGCCTCCCCTACTGCGGAGCACAGGCTCCGGACGCGTAGGCTCAGCGGCCATGGCTCACGGGCCCAGCCGCTCCGCGGCATGTGGGACCCTCCTGGACCGGGTCACGAACCCATGTCCCCTGCATCGGCAGGCGGACTCTCAACCACTGCGCCACCAGGGAAGCCCTCTCCATACAAATTTTAAGATTATTTGTTCTAGTTCTGTAAAAAATGCCATTGGTAATTTGATAGGGATTGCATTGAAACTGTAGATTGCTTTAGGTAGTAGAGTCATTTTCACAATATTTATTCTTCCAATCCAAGAACATGGTATATCTCTCCATCTGTTGGTATCATCTTTAGTTTCTTTCATCACTGTCCTATAGTTTTCTGCATACAGGTCTTTTGTCTCCCTAAGTAGGTTTATTCCTAGGTATTTCATTCTTTTTGTTGCAGTGGTAAGTGGGAGTGTTTCCTTAATTTCTCTTTCAGATTTTTTCATCATTAGTGTATAGGAATGCAAGAGATTTCTGTGCATTAATTTTGTATCCTGCAACTTTACCAAATTCATTCATTAGCTCCAGTAGTTTTCGGGTGGCATTTTTAGGATTCTCTATGTATAGTATCATGTCATCTGCAAACAGTGACAGTTTTACTTCTTCTTTTCAAATTTGTAGTCCTTTTATTTCTTTTTCTTCTCTGATTGCCGTGGCTAGGACTTCCAAAACTATGTTGAAAAATAGTGGTGAAAGTAGACATCCTTGTCTTGTTCCTGACCTTGGATGAAATGCTTTCAGTTTTTCACCATTGAGAATGATGTTTGCTGTGGGTTTGTCATATATGGCCTTTATTATGTTGAGGTAGGTTCACTCTATGCCCACCTTCTGGAGAGTTTTTATCATAAATGGGTGTTGAATTTTGTCAAAAGCTTTTTCTGCATCTGTTGAGATGATCATGTGGTTTTTATTCTTCAATTTGTTAATATGGTGTATCACATTGATTGATTTGCATATATTGAAGAATCCTTGCATCCCTGGGATAAATCCCAATTGATCATGGTGTATGATCCTTTTAATGTGTTGTTGGATTCTGTTTGCTAGTATTTTGTTGAGAATTTTGGCATCTATATTCATTAGTGATATTGGTCTGTAATTTTCTTTTTTTGTAGTATCTTTGTCTGGTTTTGGTATCAGGGTTATGGTAGCCTCATAGAATGAGTTTGGGAGTGTTCCTTCCTCTGCAATTTTTTGAAAGAGTTTGAGAAAGATGGTGTTAGCTCTTCTCTAAATGTTTGATAGAATTCACCTGTGAAGCCATCTGGTCCTGGTTTGTTGGAAGATTTTTAATCACAGTTTCAATTTCATTACTTGTGATTGGTCTGTTCATATTTTCTATTTCTTCCTGGTTCAGTCTTGGAAGGTTATACCTTTCTAAGAATTTGTCCATTTCTTCTAGGTTGTCCATTTTATTGGCATAGAGTTGCTTGTAGTAGTCTCTTAGGATGCTTTGTATTTCTGCGGTGTCTGTTGTAACTTCTCCTTTTTCATTTCTAATGTTATTGATTTGAGTCCTCTCCCTCTTTCTTGATGAGTTTGGCTAATGGTTTATCAATTTTGCTTATCTTCTCAAAGAACCAGCTTTTAGTTTTATTGATCTTTGCTATTGTTTTCTTTCTTTCTATTTCATTTATTTCTGCTCTGATCTTTATGATTTCTTTCCTTCTGCTAACTTTGGGTTTTGTTTGTTCTTCTTTCCCTAGTTCCTTTAGGTGTAAGTTTAGATTGTTTATTTGAGGTTTTTCTTGTTTCTTGAGGTAGGCTTGTATAGTTATAAACTTCCCTCTTAGAACTGCTTTTGCTGCATCCCATAGGTTTTGGATCGTCATGTTTTCATTGTCATTTGTCTCTAGGTATTTTTTTATTTCCTCTTTGATTTCTTCAGTGATTTCTTGGTTATTTAGTAACGTATTGTTTAGCTTCCATGTGTTTGTGTTTTTTACGGTTTTTTCCCTGTAATTCATTTCTAATCTCTTAGCGTTTTGGTCAGAAAAGATGCTTGATGTGATTTCAATTTTCCTAAATTTACTGAGGCTTGATTTGTGACACAAGATGTGATCTATTCTGGAGAATGTTCCATGTGCACTTGAGAAGAAAGTGTAATCTGCTGTTTTTGGATGGAATGTCCTATAAATATCAATTTAATCTATCTGGTCTATTGTGTCATTTAAAGCTTGTGTTTCCTTATTTGTTTTCATTTTGGATGATCTGTCCATTGGTGTAAGTGAGGTGTTAAAGTCTCCTACTATTATTGTGTTACTGTCGATTTCCTCTTTTATAGCTGTTAGCAGTTGTCTTATGTATTGAGGTGCTCCTATGTTGGGTGCATATATATTTATAATTGTTTTATCTTCTTCTTGGATTGATCCCTTGATCATTATGTTGTGTCCTTCCTTGTCTCTTGAAACATTCTTTATGTCAAAGTCTATTTTGTCTGATATGAGTATAGCTACTCCAGCTTTCTTTTGATTTCCATTTGCATGGAATATCTGTTTCCATCCCCTCACTTTCAGTCTGTATGTGTCCCTAGGTCTGAAGTGTGTCTCTTCTAGACAGCATATAGGTGGGTCTTCTTTTTGTATCCATTCAGCAAGCCTGTGTCTTTTGTTTGGAGCATTTAATCCATTCACGTTTAAGGTAATTATCTATATGTATGTTCCTATGACCATTTTCTTAATTGTTCTGGGTTTGTTTTTGTAGGTCCTTTTCTTCTCTTGTGTTTCCCACTTAGAGAAGTTCCTTTAGCATTTGTTGTAGAGCTGGTTTGGTGGTGCTGAATTCTCTTAGCTTTTGCTTGTCTGTAAAGCTTTTATTTCTCCGTCAAATCTGAATGAGATCCTTGCCAGGTAGAGTAATCTTGGTTGTAGCTTCTTCCCTTTCATCACTTTAAGTATATCATGCCACTCCCTTCTGGCTTGTAGAGTTTCTGCTGAGAAATCAGCTGTAAACCTTATGGGAGTACTCATGTATGTTAAGTCATTTTTCCCTTGCTGCTTTCAATAATTTTTCTTTGTCTTTAATTTATGTCAGTTTGATTACTATGTGTCTCTGTGTGTTTCTCCTTGGGTTTATCCTGCCTGGGACTATGCACTTCCTGGGCTTGGGTGGCTATTTCCTTTCCCATGTTAGGGAAGTTTTCCACTATAATCTCTTCAAATATTTTCTCTGGTCCTTTCTCTCTCTCTTCTCCTTCTGGGTCCCCTATAATGCGTATGTTGTTACGTTTAATGTTGTCCCAGAGGTCTCTTAGGCTGTCTGCATTCCTTTTCATTTTTTTTTTTCTTTATTCTGTTCCACAGCAGTGAATTCCACCATTCTGTCTTCCAGGTCACTTATCCATTCTTCTGCCTCAGTTATTCTGCTATTGATTCCTTCTAGTGTAGATTTTATTTCCGTTATTGTATTGTTCATCTCTGTTTGTTCTTTAATTCTTCTAGGTCTTTGTTAAACATTTCTTGCATCTTCTTGATCTTTGCCTCCATTCTTTTTCCAAGGTCCTGGATCATCTTCACTATCATTATTCTGAATTCGTTTTTGGAAGGTTGCCTATCTCCACTTCATTTAGTTGTTTTTCTGAGGTTTTATCTTGTTCCTTCATCTGGTACATAGCCCTCTGCCTTTTCATCTTGTCTATCCTTCTGTGAGTGGTTTTTGTTCCACAGGCTGCAGGATTGTAGTTCTTCTTGATTCTAATGTGTGCCCTCTGGTGGATGAGGCTATCTAAGAGGCCTGTGTAAGTTTCCTGATGGGAGGGACTGGTGGTGGGTAGAGCTGACTGTTGCTCTGGTGGGCAGAGCTCAGTAAAACTTTAATCTGCCTGACTGCTGATGGGTGGGTCTGCGTTCCCTCCCTGTTGATTGTTTGGCCTGAGGCAACCCAACACTGGAGCCTACCTGGGCTCTTTGGTGGGGCTAATGACAGACTCTGGGACGCCTAGGAGTACTTCCCAGAACTTCTGCTGCCAGGGTTCTTGTCCCCACGGTGAGCCACAGCCACCCCCCCGCCTCTGCAGGAGACCCTCCAACACTAGCAGGTAGGTCTGGTTCAGTCTCCCCTGGGGTCATTTCTCCTTCCCCTGGGTCCCAATGTGCACGCTACTTTGTGTGTGCCCTCCATGAGTGAAGTCTCTGTTTCCCCCAGTCCTGTCGAAATTCTGCAATCAAATCCCACTAGGCTTCAAAGTCTGATTCTCTAGGAATTCCTCCTCCCATTGCCAGACCCCCAGGTTGGGAAGCCTGACGTGGGGCTCAGAACCTTCACTCCAGTGGGTGGGCTTCTGTGGTATAAGTGTTCTCCAGTCTGTGAGTCACCCACCCAGCAGTTATGGGATTTGATTTTGCTGTGATTGTGCCCCTCCTACCGTCTCATTGTGGCTTCTCTTTTGTCTTTGGATGTGGGGTATCTTTTTTGGTGAGTTCCAATGTCTTCCTTTCGATGATTGTCCAGCAGCTAGTTGTGATTCTGGTGTTCTCACAAGAGGGAGTGAGAGCACGTCCTTCTATTCCGCCATCTTGCTTCCTACCTCAATAGCATCTTATACTCAAAAAAAAAACTAGTATGATTTTTATCATGGTTATGTCATACAGTGGAGTCTTTTTTTTTTTTTACAAAACCTTATGCAGCACTCAAATATATTAATCAGATGGACCTTCTCTGGATGCAGAGAATGTTGGGTGCCCAGAGCTCCACCCATTAGGTGGCCCGTTTATTCCCTGTGACTGTCTTTAAGGAAGATCCTTAGAGCCACAGAACACAGCAGAAGTCCACAGTACCAGCGACCCTCAGCGACACCTTCTGTCTCTGAAGTTGTAGGATCCATGCTTTTGTGTGTGTTTCCTTCATCCCCAGCACCACTGGGCCCTCCCACCAGTATTCCTTGATTGTTTGTGCCTGTTCCTCATAATGACCATACATTTTTCTCCTTGGTCAGTCAAGGAAAAATGTGACCCTTGCAGTTCCACGTAGATGTCACTATTAATGAAAAGTAACCCAAATCCTCACTAATTTCAGGGACAAGCTTAGATTGTTACCGAACTCAGGTCTGGCTGTTCACCACTCAGAAAGCAGTACTCGAGAGAGAGACAAATGTTGGTAGAAAGGAAAACTGCTTTTAATCAGAATGCCGGCAATCTGCCAGCAATCAGTGTCCCCCAAAACCATCTCCAAAGATACTGCTCGGCCACGAAAGCTTTTAAAAGGAAAAAGGGAAGTAGTCTCAGTTAATCACTGAGATGGGGGTCAGAGTTGTTGCCATCCCACAATGTGTGCAGGCTTATGTGCAGGCTTGTTGACTTCTTGTGGTCTTTCTCTAGATGCAATCTTATTCACACAGTTTGGGAGCTTACGGAAGGGGAAGCTAGAGAAGAGATCTGGTCATCTGTTAATTCCTTATTCTTCATTTCTACTTCTTTGATCTATGGAAAGAACCAACACGTTAGGCAAGGTATTGTGTGATCAAAAGATTTGAAAGGTGTGCTTGGTCCAGAGGTGAGTAGAACATGGGGGATGCCTGGTTTAACGTTAGTGTCAAGACAAAAGGGGCCTCCTGCAGGGAACTCTTTCCTGCAAAGAGCTCTTTCCTCCCAAAAGCTGCTTACAAAATGTTAAATTATATTTAATGATTATTCAGGTAAAGTTCAGAAAAAGCATCACAACTCCAACCCCAGGTATTCATCTGAACAGGGCAGAATTCCTGAATTAATTGTAATTTCCAATTCACCTTCCTTCCTTCTAAATTGCACTTCAAATTGCTTGATAAATCAGAAGTATAATTATGACAGGTTTTCATAATTTGGAATAGGCCCAGAATTACTACTGTATTATCACAAAACTCATTTTCCAGATGTTTTAATGGTACAGAAGCTTATCCTTGCCTATATTTATATCTTGTAAGTCCAATTTAGACCCTTAGGAAGGTAGATTTCTAGATCCATTGTTTAATGTGTCTAGCTCTTTGCTGACACTCACAAGAGTTAAAATTTATGCTGTATATTCTAATTAGCTACATCTTCTTTATGTCATTGTACAGATAATTAAGGAGCCATTCCATTTATACATTTGGTTGAACCTAACTGGACTTTTGGTCCCAACCAAATTATGACTAGTACTTACACTTACCTCTTTGTTTAAAGACTCAGACAAAATTTTATTTTGTCTCACAAATGTTAAAATAGCAGTGAAAGGAGAATGTGCTGTAAAATATATTTTTTGGACTGATTATCTTATGCATTTCAGGTGAAAACTTTCTTCAAATTATGCCAACTATTTACATTTTAGTCCCACATATATTTTTATTCAATTTCGCCTACATAACTACCCTTTTCTTTTCCCAATTTAACCAAGTCTAAAAATACAAACTTCTAACTCTATTAATAATGTATCACTAATGTATCCCAAAATACTGCATAGGAGGCAAGAGCTTTGTTTTAATACATGAGCCATTGGCCACTAAGGAAAACAATAATAATGTATTCAGTTGCCTAATAACTTTAAAGTACTTCAACACCGTGTTTGATGTGTTTGTGCAGAACAATGCAAAACAACTTCTATGCCTCGAAACAAAATGCTTGAACATCACTTAATAGCTTACAAGCCAACTGAGAGGTCAGGGAGCAAAACAAAATAGAAATTCTAATTAACCACAACTCTTTCTGAAGAAAGGGGCAAGTCCCTGCAAACATTTTAAGCTATTTTCTATCCACAAATAAGCTATAAAAATTCCATGTACAGTGTGGGAAACAGCACATTTGTCTGGGCTACTGAGAGCACCCTCTTACTTGCTTATATATCTAGACTATTTTATTGGGAAGTTTTCCAGCTTGGACAAACCCCAGCTTTGTAACAGTGATCTACTTGAAAACCTTTTAACAAATGCTTAATTTTAGCATATGTTGGCCCGAGATTTTTTTTGGTTCAAGGAACTTATTTTTTTGATTAAATATGTCCATATTTATATTTTACATAAATGTAGCTATTCACATGTGCCTACCTTTGGCTGCATGGCTGCTCCCCCACCTTCACCCCATCTTTTGCCACCCCTACACACCTCTCTCCAAACTGCTCCTGGAACTGTGGCTGCCGCTGACATAGTAGAGGTATATTACCTTGGACCATAAGATTCCCCACGACAGTATTCCTCCACTCTAAGCCTGCACTTCAACCAAAGCCCCTGGCTAATGAAGCCAACCCAGGTTCCTGGTACGATTTTATGTACAAGAAGTCTGGACTAAGCACTGTGTCCTCCCAAACATCTGCCTACTTCCCTGCAGTATAGCCTTTTTCCTCTCCAGAGACCACACAACCTTCTACCTGTTCTTGTTACCTACTCCAGGTTCATACTTCTCACTGTATGACAGGCCAATAAATCAAGACACGAGTCATTGGGCAAGGAATAGAGACTTTATTTGGAAAGCCAGCAAACTGAGGTGTCGGACTAGTGTCCCAAAGAACCATCTTGCACAGGTTTGGATGCTAGTTTCTTTTATAGAACAAAGAGGGGTAGGTGAGGAGGTAAAGTGAAAAAGACAATAAGTTGTTGCAAATATTTCCTGGTTCCGGCCAGACTCCAGAGGGGATGTGTTAATTACTTCTTTCGTGAAGCCATTTACAGATGTGCCCGGTCAGGATGTTTCCTGTGAGTTAAACAAAGGCATTTTAGTTTAACGCTGAGGTAGGGGAGGCAGGGTTCCCGGGGATGGGCCATTATGTGTACTTTCCCTTTAGTAATAAACTTCTAGCAAAAGCACTAGAATACAAAGTTCAAGTTAAAAGAAGTAGATCCAATATGGAGTCAGATTTGTTCCTCCCTATTATATTCTCACATCTAAAATTACCTCACTCTCTTCACCTCTCTTCTCTAAGACCCCCAACAGGCTGCTGCCTAGAGCCACCTCCACGGAATCAAGCAAGTTGTGTGGTGATGGTGGTAATATTTCCTATTAGTGTTGCTTTCTGTGTTTCTGCTGTAGTTCAGCATTATTGGGCTGAGAGAGGCTTTGGTAAGCTCGTCTAGGACAGAATCTGTCATGGATTGAATTGTGTCCCTGTGATATTGTGATTTATAATAAGAAATATTATGCTTGGTGTTTGTCCCTGTTCTTGCACAAAGCTCCCCAAGCCCTTGAAATTTCCCAAGTGATTAGAGCAATACAAGTATTTTTTGTTATTCTTAAGAAAGCCCCTTTTGGGCTTCCCTGGTGGCACAGTGGTTAAGAATCCGCCTGCCAATGCTGGGGACACGGGTTCAAGCCCTGGTCCGGGAAGAGCCCACATGCCGCAGAGCAACTAAGCCCGTGCACCACAACTACTAAGCCTGCGCGCTAAAGCCCGTGAACCACAACTACTGAACCCACATGCCACAACTACTGAAGCCCATGCAGCTAGAGTCCATGCTCCACAACAAGGGAAGCCGCCACAATAAGAAGCCCGTGCACCGCAACGAAGAGTAGCGCCCACTCGCCGCAACTAAAGGAAGTCCGTGCGCAGCAACGAAGACCCAGCGCAGCCCAAAATAAATAAATTTATTTAAAAAAAAGAAAAAAAGCCCCTTTCAATCACACCTGAGTGTATGTTAATGAGGGAACTCTTAGAAAGGTCCTAACGATGGGGGCTTGTTGCCAGGAGAACCAACCTGGTGATTAGAGGGTTGGAACTTTCAGCCCCACCCTCATTGCATCCCCCTACCCCCCTACCTTCTCCCACCCCCGACCTCTGGGGAGAGGAGACAGGCCAATGATTGAATCAACCATGCCTATGTAATGAAGCCTCCATAAAAACAAAAAGGGTAAGATTCAGAGAGCTTCCGGGTTGGTAAACACGTGGTGGTGCAGAGAGAATGGGGCCTGGAGGGGGCTTAGAAGCTCCACACATGTCTTGCCCTATGCATCTCTTCCATCTGGTGATTCCTGAGTTATACCCTTATAATAAACCAGTAATCTAGTAAGTAAAATGTTTCTCTGAGTTCTGTGAGCCACTCCAGTAAATTAAATCCTAGAAGGGGGTCACGTGAACCTCCAATTTACAGCCAGTTGGTAAGAAGCACAGGTGACAACCTGAACTTGCCATTGGCATCTGTAGTGGAGGGTGGGATTGAGCCCTTAAACTATGGGATCTGACACTAACTCCAGGTAGTGTCAGGACTGAACTGAATTGTAGGACCCCCAGCTGGTGTTGCAGAATTGCTTGGTGTGGGGAAACCCGGCAGCTACCCCAGCATTTTGTGGCCAGAAGTTTTGCAAGTAGAAAAGAAACGCCTAGGAGGAGTTTTTTCTTTACAGTCTCCACAAGAGATCATTGAAGTCCTAACTCCTGGTACCTGTGAATTTAATCTCATTTGGAAATAGGATCTTTACAGATATAATTAAGATGTAAATTAAGATGAGGTCACAGTGCAGTAGGGCAGGTCCTTAATCCAATAGAACTGGTTTCTTTATTTTTTTTTTAAAAAAAAGAAGAGACTTGGAAACAGACACACACAGAGGAGAATGCATGTGAAGACAGATGCAGAGGGCAGAGGGCCGTGTAATGATGGAGGCATGGATGGGAGTTACTCAGCTGCGCCACAGGAGCACCTCCAGCAACTGTAGAAGCCTGGAGAGTGAGCACGGCCTGCTGACACCTGGATTACAGACTACCGCCTCCAGAACAGAGGTTATACATTTCTGTTGTTTTAAGCCACCCAGTTTTTGTTACTTTCTTATAGCAGGCCTAGGAAACTGATGCAGAATCCAACCTCCTTCTTCAAAACAGCATGCATCTTGGAAAAATTTATCTCCCAATCCAAATAACTGACAAACAGATTTCTGAAAACAAGATTTTCATTAGTTGGAACAGCCCGTGCTCATCTGTTGCTTTCTTTTGAAACAATGTATTTTTGTAAGTGCATGATTTGCCCTTCTTTTCCTTCTTAATTTAATGAAAAAAGCAGTAGCTTTTGAGTGAGCCTCTTGCAGGTTGGGTTCTAAGGAAGCAAAGGCTGAGTTTGGGGGGGAGGTTGATTAGAGATCGCTGAACCTGTGAACGGCAGGGGGAGGAAGCAGGATTGGCAGAGGAGGAAGCTGGACTCCCAGGCAGGTCTGGGCTCTGTAGGGAGCAGTGCCCATAGAGTGTCCCCATCCAGCTCACAGGAGCTGGGCCATTACACCTCTGCCCACCAGCCACTGGAGGCCGGTGGCCCTAGGAGGCGTGTGAACTGGGGTCAGGCAGCTTTCTGCCAGGGCAGTCCACTCTGCAGGCCCTGGCAGGAAGTTGCCTGGGGACCGCACTCCCTCAGAGGTGAGCAGCAAGCCCCTTTTGTTTTCTTTTGGCCACACAGCGCAGCATCTGGGATCTTAGTTCCCTGACCAGGGATCGAACCCACGACCCCTGCGTTAGAAGCGCAGAGCCTTAACCACTGTACCACCAGGGAGGTCCCAGCAAGCCCTTCTTGGACGGGGATCTGGGCAGTGGGCCAGGCCATCCCCTACTCAGTAGTTCAGATGAAGAGCTCCTAGAACACGGTAGACACGTGTTCTTTGGTTCCCTCTAAACATCTGCTGTTTCTTCACCCTCCCATGTTATCCTCCTACCTACACTGAGATGTTTCTGAGATTAATACTAAGTTGATCATCCTCCACAAGGTGCAGACTTTTACATTTAAACATGGTCCATTTGCCCCTTATGAAGTTAGTTTAGTCATCTGTGTTGTCAGGGCTCTCCATTCTATAGCTACTATTTTTCCTTTTTTTAAATTTTTAAAAAAAATTATTTATTTATTTATGGCTGTGTTGGGTCTTCGTTTCTGTGCGAGGGCCTTCCCCAGTTGTGGCAAGCGGGGGCCACTCTTCATCGCCGTGCGCGGACCTCTCACTATCGCTGCCTCTCTTGTTCTCTGCGGAGCACAGGCTCCAGACGCTCAGGCTCAGTAATTGTGGCTCACGGGCCCAGTTGCTCCGCAGCATGCGGGATCCTCCCAGACCAGGGCTCAAACCCGTGTCCCCTGCATTGGCAGGTGGATTCTCAACCATTTTTAATAAATAAGAAACTTGTAGGTAGACACTCTGAAACTACGTAAATACTCTGTTTCTTGCCAAAATTTCCCTCCCCCGGTTTGGCATGCGTAATGGTTCTTGCCTAAATCTGTTTTTACCAAGATGCTTTTTAAATGGCGATTTTCTACTTCCGTCAGTGCTACTGTGTTTGTTAATCAGAACTCCACTGTATGCAAGAGGCTTCCCTTTCTTTCCATATATCTACTAATTTATTATCTATTGTCAATATGGACTCATGGATTCTTATTTTATTCATTCTGTTATTGTTCTTATGTACCTTGCTGCTCAAATTACCCCAGACTTGGCCAGTGAAAGCCCCTTCATTTTTTTTAATATATCCTCATCATTTTCTGAGCACCTCCTTATTTTCTGGCACAGTAACATATTCCAGGCTCATCTTGATTTTCTCTGCCCCAGCCTTTGAATAAGCCATTTCTCCATGAACCCCTGGTTCATGTTTGTGGAGAATTGTATTTAGAAACGAAGGTGTGGGTTCAGGCTTTACTCGTTGCAAATGAGTGACTGAGCGTCATTGAAATAATAAACTTATATGGATACTTCTAATTAGAATCCGACCTAGGATCTTGCTTGCTTTTCCCCATTCCATACTTGTATCTCTCATCTTACATATTTCCCTGGCTCTCAAGAACCTTACTATAGTCACTCATTTGCGCAATTCTGCAATACCCACAAAATGGTTTCATAATACTGATACCACTGCAACAAACCTATTGAGAAGAGTTCAAGGTTAACCTTTTTTTTTCTTTGGACTGAAGTCGAAATACTATCTTCAACATTTTCTTGCGGTACTGGCATAAAGACAGACCAATGGAATAGAATAGAGAGGTCCCAAAATCAACCTTCACATATATGGTTGAATGATTCTCAACAAAAGTGCCAAGGCCTTTCAAAAAGAAAGGACAGTCGTTTTTCTTTTCTTTTCTTTTTTTTTTTTGCTGTACGCGGGCCTCTCACTGTTGTGGCCTCTCCCGTTGCAGAGCACAGGCTCCGGATGCGCAGGCTCAGCGGCCGTGGCTCACGGGCCCAGCCGCTCCGCGGCATGTGGGATCTTCCCGGACTGGGGCATGAACCCGTGTCCCCTGCATCGGCAGGCGGACTCTCAACCACTGCGCCACCAGGGAAGCCCAAGGACAGTCTTTTTAACAAATGGTGCTGGGAAAACTGGGTATTGATATGTAGATAAATGAAGTTGAACTCTTCCTTATACAAGGTACAAAAATTAACTCAATGGATTAAAGACCTAAATGTAAGGCCTAAATTTATAACACTCTTAGAAGAAAACATAAAAGGAAAGCATGATATTGCATTAGGCAATGATTTGTTGGATATCTCACCAAAAACATGGACAACAAAAGAAAAAGAGATAAATTGGACTACATCAAAATTAAATGCTTTTGTTTATCAAAGGAAACAATCAGCAGAGTGAAAAGACAAACCATGG